GAAGGCATTCAAGGAACCAAAAAAAAAAAAAAAAAAGAGTAAGTGCTCATGGAAACTACACAGTATCAGTGAGAAAAGTATCCCTAACCTGCTAGTGAGAAAACAGGCCCTCCACACTGAGGAAGAGAGCAAAGAGCTGACAGGTTCCTTCTGGGGATAATTAGGCACTAACTGTCAAAAGAACATTCTTTTGACCAAGTAAATCTACGGATAGGAGTGGGCCTGCCCATTTGCTCAGTTGTTCAAGCCCCTGCTCATGCACATGAGATCATCTTGTTGTATTGTTCTGTTACTTGTTTGGGCACCAGGAATGCAACTCAGGACCTCTCATGAGATCACCCTGAAAACCTGGTTAGGCCCTGTTTCAATTTCACAGGGCAGGGTGCTGGAGATATAGCTCAGGACTCCATGGTTTCATCCCCAATACAGGGTACAGAGGAGAGGAAGAGCAGTAGCTCTTTTATTTACCATTTTGCAAAGGACTCTAATATACATTATGTTTAAAAAAAAAAAAAAAGCAAGTTAGATAACAGTATGCTATCATTTGTAAAGAAAAAAAAAAAGTTTGTATTTATTTACATAAAAAGTACCTCTGGAAAAATAAAGCATGGGCTAGGGCCACAGCTCAGTGACAGAATGTGTCTAGCATGTGTGAGGTCCTAGGTTCAATTTCCAATACTTGGGGGGAAAAAGTCAACTGGCAACTATCATGGGAAGAGGAAGCTAGAGTATGGAGGGGGAGAATTTTTCCCACTACACTATTTTTTGAGTAGATTATGAATTTTGAAGCATACAAGAAATACTACTCATTACAAATAAACGTAATTTGAGAATAAAAATTGAGTTTCTTGCCTCATACTACATATCAAAGTCATTAGCTATATATAAAATCAAAATTTTAAAATTGATTCCTGAAAACTACACTTCTGGAGAAAAACTTCCTAACAATAAACAAAAAACAACAGATCAAAACACAAATGAGAAACTCTAGTAAATATATACAAAAATCCAAGTCATTAATAACTAAGGCAATGTACATTAAACCAATGAAATTTTCACTCCTCCATTTATTCACTTGAGACAGGCTGACTACGTAGCCCAGGCTGGCTTTGGACGCAAGATACTCCTGCCTAAGCCTCTGGAGCGACAGGACTGCCAGTGTGTCCCACCATGCCCTGCTCATCCACCATTAATTTAATTTTGTTACAATGTGATTTAGTTTAGTTCAGGTGTTAATATCTAATGCAGACAAGGATGTGATTACACTGGCACTGTCATACTCCTAACTATTAACAACTCTTCTATAAAGTAGGCAATGATAATCAAGAATCATAAATAAAGCTTCATGGTCTATCCCAGTGCTTGCAATTAGCTTTAGGAAGCACAGAAACAAAGCGCAAACACTCATTTTATGGTCTGTAGCTGCGTGTGGATGTCAGGACATTTTTCCTACAACAAATTAAAGCACAAGCATTGCTTTGTTTTGCTGTCACACCCATAAGGGTCTCTGGAGTAAGGAGTAGGAATCAAATGCCCTTTGCCTGCCAGTTCTCAGGCTTTGTTCCAAACCAGCTGCTAACTTCTTCATCCAACACCATATCTTCCAGGATGGAGACTTTAAGGAGGTGGAAATGAATGGAAGTTGCCATAAAGTCATTTCTGACAACCACAAGAAAATGAAATGACCATGTTCTCCCCAGTTGGGTGTAACATCCAACCCATTTTATACACAAAATAAAACACAGTTGTTCTCACACACCTGAGTTGTTGAGCTGCCAGGATCCTCAACTTGAGTACTGGTGGCATCGCTTGGAGACGGAAGCACAGCAGAAGACTCCTGACTTTTTTTCTGGTTTTCATCAGGTGGCTTAGATCTTTTCAAAGTCCGTTTTGATATAGGTACAAGAGGTTTTAAGTGTTTTTTCCTACGGATGTTAGTAGCAGGTTCGTCCGACTCCAAATTATTCTTTGAACATATTAAAGCTAAAAATCCCCGTGGTCTTCTGCCAGGCCTAGAAATGTAAATGTAAAGATAGTCAAGGATATCAGTAAGGGGCTGGTGAGATAGCTCAGCGGTCTAAAGCGTCTACTTAGGCAGGTGCAGGGGACTGCAGTTCAGATCCCTGGCACCACATGCTGTGCCAGCCCTACCTTCAAGGCGGGCTGAGCTGGCCAGAAAAAAAAAAAAAAAAAGAGTATCAGTAAAATACATTCTTAATACCATCTTCTCATAAATGCGAAAAGGACATACTCTACAAAGTACTGACACCATTAGGTCAAGATTCAGATGTGTTACAGGACCCTGGCTTATCCTATTTTTTTGTTTGTTTTGGTTTAGAATTTTTGTTTGCTTTCTTGTTATCAGACAGGGCCTTGCTATATCATTCAGGCTGGCCTTAAACTCACAGTAATCCTCCTGTCTCAGCTTCCTGAGTACTCAAGATTATAGGCATGCACCACCATGCGCAGCAACAGTCTTATTCTAAATGAGGTATTCACACATTTAAAAGTGAAGTACATTACCATCATCTGGTGTGGTAGCACAAACCTGTAATCTCAACATTTGGGAGGCTGAGGCAGAAGGATCTCTGCAAGTTCAAGGCCATCCTGGGCTACATAGTGAGTTCACAGCTAGCCTGAGTTCACAGCTATCTATAGGCTAGATAGTGAGACTGTCTCCAAAAAAAAAAAAAAAAAATTAAAAAAAATTTTAAAAAGCCATGCCTTATCTCTTCAGCATGCCACAGAGGAAGAAAACAATACATTATTTTGAAATTTAACCAACTTCCAGAGCTACCTCTGGTATGAAATCTATGTCTCCTAACATCTACATGTGCATTAGTTGTTACCGTACGGTAGAATATGCATAATCAAAATAATAACTATGGATAAAGTATGCAACGGTCTAAGGATTCATCTATTCCAAGTAGGCAGCTTCACAACGGAAGTTAAGTTCTCATCACACGATGTACAATGATCTGGAACATTGCTGAATTTTCTTTTTTTTTTTTTTTTTTTTTTTTAATTTTTATTTATTTATGTGTGTGTGTGTGTGTGTGTGTGTGTGTGTGGCCAGCTCAGCCCACCAGGGGGGCGGGGCTGGCTGGCATGTGGTGCTGGGGGATTGAAACGTGGTCCCTGTGCTTTGCTAAGTTTGTTCTAAGTAGGTGCTCTAGACCACTGAGCCATCTCACCAGCCCCTGAATTTTCTTTGAAGGACCATCCCTTTATATTACAGACACAGGACATACTTATAAAACAGCCGTAGGGGTGGGGGAGATAGCTCAGTAGAATAAGTGCTTGCCTGGCAAGCGCAGGGTCTTGAGTTCAATCCCCCGTACCAAAAGATAAAAGATAAAAAAATAAAGCAACCTTAGTGCTGATTTAACTTTACACGCATGTCTATTCTATGTAGGCTGCACATATTCAGAGGTACAGGGACTTTCTTATGATACCTGGAAAGTGGGGCTTTTGAGGATGACGTTGCAGCATCAGCTCTTTCTTCTTTATCAGGCATAGCCATGTCATCCTGAGACAACTGAGGCATATTCCTTTCTATACATGTATCTATTTTATTAAGAGATCTAGATTCTATATTCTGAAAAGCTGGTTCAAGTTGCTCTTTTTGAGGTTCTTGAGTTGGATGTGTGCTTTCTAAGGTGGTGGAAATATCTTGTTCCTTGTAAGATTCCCCTTTAAGAAAAGACAGTAAAGGGTAAGTATGTATCTTGAAATTAATATATTTAATGTAACTATAAATACAAAGGAAAAAAAAATCACAAAACTCAGCAACAAATCCATCCTCATAAGAATAAGCTACTTAGCAAGCATGTAACTCTGAGTTTGAGCCCTGCTGCCAAAAAAGAAAAAAGATGAGGGGAAAAAGAAAAGCAAGGAAAATTATAATTTGAGAGTTAATTGGGACTCTTACAAATATTTTAAGTGCATGTGGAGATGTAGATCATTGGTGGAAAACAAGAGGTAGGTAAGTGGGAGGGAGAGAAAAACAAGAAAAATGAAAGAAAATAAAATAAAAAGAAATACTGCCAACTAGTTAATAAAAGCCATAGTAATAGCTCCTGCAAAAGTCCTATCACTACATAAAGTAATCTTTCTCCATTTTGACCTAGAAAACTCTTCTTCCAAAAATTTCTTGAACTATCAAAATGAAAAGGTGATCCTTTCCTAAGATTCCAAGGTTCCTTAAATACAGAAGCTACATCAGCCCAATATCGGTGGTAACTCCTAGGTATCGTAGCTTCATAGAAAAGCCCACAGTCCACTAACTAATGCACTGAAATTAGCCAAGGGTTTTCCTCTCTAAACCAAGCTCAGAAGCTAAAGTAGCAATTAATAGGATAGCACAGTTTTGGTTTAGATCTAGAATGCCCCCCTAAAAGCCAGGGTCTTTCCACTGAGCTACATTACTAGCCCTTTATATTATGAGACAAGATCTTGCTAGGTCACTAAATTGTCCAGGCAGGTAGCTAGGAATACTTTGCAAAACACAATCATGTTAAAATTTATTTCACTCACCTGTCTCCTCAAAAACTTTTAATTCTTTTGAACACGCCTGTTTTAAGAAAATTCACAAAATATTTAGAAATCCATTGTCAAATTAAAATCCCCTCCCCACTTCCTTCCTTTCAGTAAAGAAACATTATCTCCCGGAAAGTTTTAGTCAAGACATGCCTTACATAAATCCTACAAAACACTGAAGGAAAAAAATATTGTTACTTTACCCTGCTACAGAACCCAGCAGGAGAGCTAAAGCCGTCAAATGCCTTTTATCTCAGTCATATTCATACCAACTAACTAATCCCACTCAGTACCAGTGGAGAAATAGCAAATCAAATATTAGAATTTTTTTTTTCCTTGTGGTTCTGGGACACAAACCCAGAACCTTGAACATGCTAAGCAGGGCTCTACCACTAAGCTACAACCAAGCACTTCAAATGAGAAGTTCTGGCTGGGGAATATAGTTCAGCAGCACAGTGTCTGCCTAGCAAGGCAGGTCCTGAGTTCAAGTCCCAGGATCAAAAAAATAAAGGAAAAGTTACAAACAACAAATCAACAGATTATTAATTACATTGTATTATAATCAATGACTTTGTTTCAGGAATGCAAAAATAACTCAACATCAGAAAGTAATTCAATAGATACATGGAAAATAATCTTATCTATTTACATTGGTACTCATTCTTTTTTTTTTTTTTTTTTTGAGCTGGAGATTGAACTCAGGCCCTTACGCTTGCCAGGCATGCGCTTATTCAACTGAGCTATCTCCCCAGCTCCTTGTAGTCATTCTTTTAAAAAGTTA